GATTTGACTAATAAATTGTACTGACCATATTATTTATACTTCCTTGTTGAATTGGAAAGTGATGTCTCACTTAATTGTCATTGATTAGAGTAGTTTCATTCAAGTTAGATATGAAATTTTACTAATTTCGGTGATTTTTTTTCAAAATACATCTACACAGAATCGGGTTTGATTAATTAAATTATTTTAGTTATTTATTAGATAAAGTAACAATTATTTGTCTTGCTTTTTTACTCAAGTGCATATTACTAATTTCATATTTTCCAAATAAACTATCCAAACCAAATATATTATTCTTTATCAAAGCCTAAATACACAAACCAACCTAATGAAATAGCTAACGTGGCATTTTTAATTTTTGATTTATATACATGTAACACTTTAGGCAAATCTCACATTGACATATTGCGGGAGAGATCCATGGTTCATAAGTGACAAGACGCGTTTTGGTGTGAAACGAAGAAGTTCTTATGAGAACTCCGAAGTTAAACGTGCTCAGTGTGGAGTACAACACGGATGGGTGATTTTATGTGAAGTCACCTTGAATTGCACCCCAAGGCAAAAACCATGAGGGTGGAGGCCCTAAGCGGACAATATCTTCGTCGGGAAAAGGTTCAGAATGTTACAAGTGGTATCAGAGCCTCTTCGCGTCCCTCTTGAACGGTGGTGGGGCAAACATCAACGAGGGCCTTTAGTCCTAGGGGGTGTATCTAACACCTTAGGAAAATCCCACATCGACAAAGCACGGGAGAGATCCATGGTTTATAAGTAAGAAACCGGCCTTAACTGACAAGACGTGTTTTGGGGTGAAACGGAGGAGTTCTTGTGAGAACTTCGAAGTTAAATGTGCTCGGTGTGGAGTACAACAAGGAGGGTGACCTTATGAAAAGTCACCTTCAATTGCACCCCAAGGCAAAAACCGTGAGGGTCAAGGTCTAAAGCGGACAATATTTTCGTCGGGAAAAGGTTCAGGATGTTACATACATGTGCAAATATAAAGAATAATTATATGCATATGAAATGAACAATGAAACCTAGAAATTTAAGAAGATGGAATTCACAAAAGAAGCAATAAGTTGACCCATGCCTTTAATCACCGTAAAGCCTCAACAAAACATTTTTTCCACCAAAAATTAAAACCTTCGTTCTCGGTCGAAGAATCTAGCGCTTCGCACCATAGTTGTTCAACATTCAATTCAAATGGGGAAAAGGTTATTTGAGGAGAAATCAACAAGACTGTTGCAATAACCCCTAAAACTTATGGGTTGGGCATCAAAAGTGCCAAAGCCAATGGGACAAGGAATTTGGCCGGAAATGGCGACCGCACAAAACTGCACAAAGAGTTGAAGAAGGGGTTGATTATGAGAGTTCACTGCACAAGTTAGATTGGAAGAGTGACTTAAAGATTTGATGGGGACAAGCAAGTGGCTCGATACAATCAATCGGAATCGGCGGCTGAGATAGAAAAAGTAAATGAACTAAAGGTGATCTGGGTGGGTTGCAGGAGGCATACGGTAAACATGCCCACATCCCGTTGGACCCCTTAAACAAATTAGGCTCTATTTATATAAATAGATAAATAAATGAACCTTTTTATAGCGCCAGTTTGTATAAACAACAATCTCCCTTGGTTGAGGTTCATAGAAGGATTAATACATTATTCTGGCCCGAACTATACTTATATAATCAACTTTGGTCTATGGTTTCAGAAACTGTCATCCTGACCTCAACTATACACTATTTAGCCTAATTTGGCCTGACTCGTGAATTTCCGTCAAATTAGACACTCAACAGTGTTGACCGTTAGTGAATCAGCATGCTTTGATGACGTAAATGCCACATAGACATTAAAAATTATTAAAATATTAAATGAACAAATAATTTATCAAATTAATAAAAATAATTTATCTTCCGGAGCTTTCCGAAGCTGAACCGCGTCGACCGCCTCCCGCTCTCCTCCCATGGTTGTCAGCGGAATCAAAGCATCTTATGCTCTCAAGCTTCTCCAAGACTCTTCGACGACCTCTTCTCCCTGGCCGAGTGCGCCGCCACTGCCACCTTCGGCTGCTACTCCAGTTGGGAATCGTCATCAGCGTCGTCGTTTTCCAACATTACCAGCTGCTACGACACCTCCGCCATCTCTGTTTTAGATTACTACTTCGACCCCGACGATGACCTCTTTCAATTTGTTGCGAAACCCAACGAGTTTGAACTCCCTGAATCCGTTACCAATCCCGTAAGAATCAATCTCACCAATGGTGTGGCGGTGAGCTGGAGCGTTGAAATAACTATATCATATTAATAGTATTATTATAATAATTATCATTTACATAAAAAATGTAATGGCTTCTCTTAAAAAAAAATATCTTCCGTACTAGTGGCCATACACCCCGTTCTCGCTTGCTCTGCTCTCGATTCCCCTGCCTCCACCGCAGCCCTCAATTCAAATCTCCCTCTAATTAATCATCGACGCTCGGGTTGCCTTCACAGCCTCAGTTCCTACCCATAACTTATTTACTTCTTTCACCACCTTAGGTCGCCTTCACAGCTCACCCAGGTTGTCGCCTCTGTTCCTCCACCATGGCGGCATTGAAGGGAAGTGAATAAGCATCTTGGCTCTCTGTAACGAGTGATTGTCTGATTGTACAGCAGTGGCAAGAGTCGTTGGTGCGAGGGAGTATCTCCTTCTTGCCCTGCCAATTCCATAACAGATGACCATGGCTTGAAATCCGCGCTCTCGAAAAAGAAAAGCGTGCTCTATTTGTACAAAGTTCGCGAATCTTTTATGCTTTAAAAGAAATTTGCGTTTTGCCGAACTAGCGCGGAAGCGCTGGCCCAGTGTAGGGGGACCGGATCCAGTCACTAACCCATCATTAACCCCTTCTTCGGTCCCCACGTGTCAGTCTTCTTTTTTATTTAAATTAAATACGGAAGGGTAGTAGTGTAAAATTGCACCCACTCCTATTTATTGCTTATGCTGACTTTTGACCGAATGCGGACCTCACTCCCAGCCCCCATATGCATTCCCCTCTCTCTCGCTCTTTCTTTTATTATTAAAAGAAAATTTACATTATTTCTTCTCTCTCTTCCATCTATAACAAAAATGAATCTAAAATCAACTATTTCTGCTTTAATTCCAATTCAAATTGAATGATAATTTTTCCTTTCATTAAATAAGTGCTAAAGACAGTAATTACAAATATGAATATGATTATCACTTTCTACTACCGTGGTAAAACATGATAAAATATGTTGAATAAAATTACAAATTTTACTACCATACAATACCACATGGTATAACGTGGTAAAACATGCTACAAAAATTTACAAAACCATATGGTATAACATGCTAAAATAAATTACAAATCTAACTAACATACAATACAACATGGTATAACGTGGTAAAAACATGTTACAAAATTATACAAATCTAATTACCATACCATACCATATGGTATAACATGCTAAATAAAATTACAAATCCAACTATCACCACATGGTATAACTTGGTAAAACATGGTACAAGAAATTATAAATCTAACCATCATAGAATACCACCATAGTAGAACATGGTAAATTGAATGACCACAAATTAATTATAATTACTATACAATATCGCATGGTAGGATAAGGTAAAACCATATAAAAATTATAAATCTAATTAAAAACCCTCTACGACCCAATATAAATATAATTTCTCGGAATTGGTGTCGATTACCACCCAATACCATATGGTATAGTCTGGTAATATCAATATATATTTCGTTACCACCCAATATCATATGATATAGTGTGGTAATATCAATATATATTACCTAAAATAAATAAATAAATCAGAAGGATGGAGATAAAAAAAACTTGTCTCTGTTTCATCTCATTTCCTTCGCAATCAAGAACACCAAACGCCAAAAAAGGGGGAAAGATCATAATTAAGGCCAATGAGTTGATGAAGAGAAGAAACGCAATGAAAGAGTATGGCTGCAAATTTTATTCGTCGATTGTCGGAGAAAAAATTAAAGAAGAAGAGAAGGGAGCAGATCTAGATCTGGAAAGGAGTTTGGGAGAGAAAATGAAGAGAGAAGGAAGAGAGAAATAGAAAGGAGAGTTGAATATAAATTATTATTTTTCTCTCCTTCTTTGAAAAAATAGCCATTAAAATGCATAATAAAATAAAGTAAAATATTTAATGTAGAAATGGACAAAAATACCATTCCCCACCCCGTTTCCTGCCCAACCGCACGATTGTCCGCCCCTAGATCTAGCGGTCCCTATTTATTACGGTCCGCCTTGCCAATTCCATAACAGATGACCATGGCTTGAAATCCGCGCTCTCGAAAAAGAAAAGCGTGCTCTTTTTGTACAAAGTTCGCGAATCTTTTACGCTTTAAAAGAAATTTGTGTTTTGTTGAACTAGCGTGGAAGCGCTGTCGATGTGTAGGCCAATTATGTTACCTAAGTATTAACCCTTCATAGAAGTAGTGTAGCCTTGTAGTCTCACCACATCAACGATTGAGGGGGAACAAAAACTCTCTCGATTGTGCTCTCTCTTTTCGGAGGAGTGGGTCGGCAATCGCCTTCGTGAGCTAGTGCCGTTCAGGCTTCCCGCCGTTGTGCGGCGACGGGGGCCTGGCTCTCCGGAGCGTCATGGCTATAAATCCTTGGGGGGGGGGGGGATTGTGCGTATTGTTTCCATTGTTCTTGACCCCAAAATTCTCATTGTTTCTCTCTTGTCCGGGGAATCGTCGACCATGGTAGTAGTGTAGTTCAATGATGAGGATATGCCAGCCGGGGTGGCCCGGGGGGAGCTTTCCCTTATCAGACGGTTGTTTGGTGCTCCGCCGCCGCTGTATGCTCTCAAGATGATGCTGGGTCAGGTGTGGCGCTACAAGGGTGACCTAACCATTTCCTGCGTGGAGGAGGGCTTGACCCAATTCATGTTCTCGTAGAAGGCTGATCTTCACAAAGCGGATGCCAAATCCCCCTGGATTTTCAACAATTTTATGCTGGTGTTGGCACGATGGGCAAATCCTTCTCCCGAAGTGGCCGAACAACTTCGCTGGGCTCCAATGGCGGTCAGCTTTGGAAGGTTTCGTTTGATTGCTTCACTGAGAAAATGGCCTGGCGGTTGGGTTCTTCCCTTGGGGGTGCTCAACGAACCTCCCACGCTCCACCTCTATGATGTCTCGGGTGGGCTTTATGTAAGGGCGGCGCCAATGCTAGACCTCACTGCACCCTTGCCGGATGAGATTACTGCTGGGCACATTGATTCGACTCGAGGTAACTTCGTTGCAACTGTTAAACTTGAACGTGTTCCTCACTTTTGCTTCCTTTGTGGTGTAATTGGGAACATCGGAGAGGGTTGCCCCGGTAAGGATGCCTTGGCTGGCGCTCCGCCAAAATATGGCGTGTTCTCGGTTGCAACTCAATGGGGACCACCCGTGACGGAGGATACCCTGTCAAAGAGGCACCGGTGGTTCACTTGGATTCGTGCGGCCAAGAATCGCCCAACATCCTCGAGGAATGAAGGCAGATTCTGGGAGCCTGCTCCGCGCTAGGCTACTCAGCAGTTTCTGCCAATCTAGGAGAGAGGTGTTGGTGGTGAGTGGCTGGACACTCAGCGTCCCTCCTCAAGACTTATGGGCGCCAACTTCCAGGCTCTTTCAATTGTTCCTTCCAGTTCGAAACCTGTCGATGTTGTAGCAGCCCCATTGGCGGAGGACACTATCATGGGTGATGCTTCTCCTATAGCCAAACGGGCGCGCTCTGACTCATCAGCGTCGGCTACATTTTCTTCTCACTATGGTAAGGCGGTGGCATCCAGCCTCAACTGGGCCCAACCAGATCCATGAATTTTATGGTGTGAAATTGTCGGGGGATGGGCTCCCCCTTGGCAGTTCCCTCTCTTGGTGGAGTCGTTGCATGATTCTTGCCCAACCTTGTCTTTCTTAGCGAAACTAAACGGGATGATGACTTCGTCAAGTCCAAATTTGCAAGTATGGGGTACAAATCAGCAAGGTGTTTTAGTGCGTCTAATGGTAGTGGTGGTCAAACTGTAGCTTGGGAAGATCATGTTGCTTGTACAGTTCATCAACTTTCTTCCTTTCATTGTTTTGTAAAATGCTTAGTTCCAGCTGTAGGGAGCCTTGTCATTGTTTTTGTTCATCTTTCTTGTGATGCTACCGATCGACAATACCAACTTAATGAAATAGCTACTTTGCTCTCGTCTGTTTCTCTACCATCCTTTGTGGTGGGTGATTTTAACTGTCTCCTCTCTTCCAATGAAAAAATGGGGGGGGGGGGGGGTCTGTACCCTCACTGGTTGCTTTGGACCAACTAAATGAGTTCATATTGTCTACTGGCCTCTTTGTCTTAGGATTTCAGGGTTCACCGTTCACTTGGTCCAATCGGCATGCAGGTGGGGAGCACATCTTAGAGAGGCTGGATCGATGCCTTGGCAGTGCATCAACGATGGCTAAATGGTCGGACATGAAGGTAATCCACCTCACTGACTTAGGCTCTGATCACCGGATGCTTCTTGTGCAGCTCATCAAACAGGGGCATCAACCGCATACCCGGTTTCAATTTGATGGGATATGGAATTCTAATACCGAGGCCCTAGATATAATTCAATTGGCTTGATCCAAACCCACTCGTGGTTCTATCCAAATCCGAGCCTTTAATCAACTCAAAATTGTTCGCCATGATTTGGTTGACTGGGCGAGAGTGGGTACTTCAAGTTCGGCTCGTCGCATTAGGGAGCTCAAGGCTGCAATTGCGGACCTTAGAGAGGTAGCAATGGTGGATTGGGATGCTATTCGCCAGTTGGAACGGGCCCTCTCGAATGCATACGTGGAAGAGGAATGTTCATTGCGTCAAAAGTCCCTAGTTGGTTGGCTTCGTGAAGGGGATGCTAACACCAACCTCTTTTACCGCACTGTGCTTCATCGAAGACGTTTCAATCGCTTGAGAGGGCTAAGAGATTATGATGGAACCTTACATCATGAAGAAGATGCCATGGCAGGTATAGCTATTCCATTTTATCAAACTATATTCACATCTAACAATATGGATGCCTCATCGTATGTGGAATCTTTGGGTATCTCCAGCAGAATCACTAGGGCGATGAATGATCATTTGATAGCTCATGTATCGGATCTGGAAATCAAGGAGGCTGTGTTCCTGATTGGTAGCCATCAGCTTCCAAGCTAATTGGGAGGTGGTGGGTCCGTTGATCACTGCTGCGGTCCTCAACTTCTTTAGCTCCGACCGACTTCTTCACAACTTTAATCACACTTTGATTTCCTTAATGCCAAAGGTACTCAATGCGTTAAATCCGTCCCATAGGTTTGTGTAAGGTATTTTACAAAATCATTGCAAAACTTATGGCTGCTAGGCTCAGTGTGATCTTACCTGATGCTGTGAGTTCCAACCAAAATGGTTTTGTGCGTGGTAGATCGATTATTGACAATATTCTGATTGGCCAAGAAGTTATGCAATTTTTGAAAACTAAAGTGCTGGATCGAGATAAATGGATGGCACTTAAGCTGGATATGGAAAAAGCTTATGACCTGGTTGAATGGTTATTTGATGATTATGGAACAGATGGGTTTTTGTTACGAATGGCGACGCTGGATTAATGCTTGTATCTCCACTGTATTCTTTCCAGTCTTGATTAATAGGCATGCCCATGGGTATTTCAAGCCCCAACGGGGTTTGCGTCAAGGTGACCCCCTCTCTCCCCTTCTCTATGCCATCTATACTGAAGCATTTTCGGCTAAACTGTCAAGTGAGATCATGGCTGCGAATTTACACGGTTTACAAGTCCATCGGCATACGCCTTTGACTTTCCATTTATTTTTTGCCGATGATACTTACCTGTTCTTGAGAGCCTCCTTGCCGGAATGTACTAATCTGCTTTCTCTGTTGGACGAGTTAGAGAGGGTTAGTGGTCAAAAAGTCAACCTTGCTAAATCTTCTATGTGTGTTAGTTCTAATGTCTCTAACCAGGAGCGAGTGGCTTTGGGAACTTTTCTTGGGGTGGCTGACTCTAGTACTCTCGACAAGTACTTAGGGTTGCCGGTGCATATCCAACGGTCCAAGACCCAAACATTCAGGTTTGTTGAGGAGGGGCTAGTTGCTCGGATCCGGTCGTGGAAAACTAAAGTTATGTCCTTGGCTGCCAAGGAAACGGTGATAAAATCTATTGGATCGGCTTCCTCTATATATGCTATGTCTGCTTTTTGGCTGCCATCTTTCACCTGTCGCAGGTTAAATGGCCAACTCTCTCGGTTTTGGTGGGCTGATCAAGATAAAGAAGACGGTATGCAATGGCTTTCATGGAAGGAGGTGCGTCTTAGCATGTTTGCTGGGGGGCTAGGATTTCGCGATTTTGAATGCTTCAACATCGATCTCTTGGCTAAACAAGCTTGGCGGGTACTCATGAATCTGGATTCAACATTGACGTCACTATACCGAGCGCGATATCACCCCCACACCTCATTCTTGGAGGCGACATCGGGGCCAAGGCCGTCCTGGGCTTGGCAGGGCATCTTAGCTGGGAGGGATCTTCTTTTGCATGGTCTCCGATGGCGGATCGGGAATGGGGCGTCGGTTCAAGTACTTGCAAATAAGTGGCTTCCGTCATCCCCTCCCTCCTCTCCTCTATTGCAGGCACATATTACTTACTGCCCTGTCTTTGTTTCTGATCTTATTTGCCCCTTTTCTCGGTCCTGGAATGTGGAACTTCTTAACAGCCTGTTCATGCCATCCTCGGTGTCATAAATTTTATCCATTCCTCTACCCTTTCAGTCCTCTCCAGATAAGCTCATTTGGCATCATTCACCAACTGGAGAATACACTGTTAGAACTGGTTATCATGTCATTACCAATGAATTGTTGGCTTTGCATCCTCCCTCTCCATTGCCGTATGATTACAGGTTCTGGAAGTTATTGTGGAGCTTACTTCTCCCGCCTAAACTTAAGTTCTTTTGGTGGCGAGTGGTTCGAGGCTTCCTTCCTGTTCGGGCGGTGCTACAAATCAAGCGGTTTGTGGCGGATAATACGTGCCCGGTGTGTTCTGCAGGGGCTGAAACTCTTTCTCAAACTTTCCTCCACTGTTGGGTGGCCACAGAGCTGTGGAAGCTTGCTGGTTTGGGTGCCCTTAGAAGGAGACTGGTGGGTTTTCCCCCTTCTGATTGTTGGAATGCTTTATTCTTTTCTTGTAATTTGTCCAAGAATGAGATTGCTGATGTTGTTTTCCCCTGCTGGCGAGTGTGGAAATCCCACTGCTGGGCACTCCACAAGCACATTCAATATTTAGGGCCGCCCTTATTTCGGGAATTCAGAGCTCAGGTTGAGGAGTGGCAGCACACATCATCTTCGTTAACGCTCTATAGGGATGGCGGCGGGGCATTTCATTCACGGACATGTTCGGGACAGGGGGCTCGCATTATGCCGACATACGGGATTTGCCCAGTTGGTGGCGTCCTTGTTCGTTTTGATGGAGCTTGGAAGAAGGATGTGGGAGGCGGATGAGGATTTGCTGGCTTCTTCCATAATGGTCAACTTCTCTTCGCATTTGGGCGGTATTACCCAAGTGTTTCTAAACCTTTTCTTTCTGAATTATTAGCGCTCCGCGATGCGATAAATTGGTGTGTTTTGCATGGGTTTGTTTCTGTCAATTTCTGTGACGATTGCCAGCCTTTGATCCGCAGGGTTCGCACGAGGGATGTGACTCATGAAACAGGCAGTGCGATTTTGGAGGAGATTTGCGTGGCGTCCGGATCGTTTAGTTTCTTTTATTGTAATTTTACTCCGAGGTTGTACAACAAAACTGCCCATTTAGTGGCTATTGGCTAGTGGCTACTAATGTCCTTTCATCGACAGTTCGACTACTGATCAACTGTCGCATTTGGTTATCAAGTTTCCTGTAATATCTATGACTTCCCCTATCTATGATATAAAAAAAAAAAAAAAAAGGTAGTGTAGCCTTGTAGCGGGCTGCAGATTTCAAAACTTGGGGAGTCCCGTCCAATTGCAAAAGCAACCCAACCAACTGGCATTTGTCTCTGTTCTCTTCCTCAGAACGTCTTTTCTTTACCTTTTCCCCTATTCACCTCTCATTTCTTTTCCCCACTTTTCAGACCTTCTGTCTCTTCTTCCTCTCTGTGGCATTTCACCAAACACTTTGCTTGCTTCTACAGTTATTCCAGCAGGTCCAAAGCTTTTGCACTATATTACCGGATACGAAACCAGGGTGGTTTCCCTTCTGCTCTTATTCTTGCTTGATTCGTGTCCCATCTGATAGCTGTAACAGGAAGCTCGCGTGGGAGATGGACGGGGCACAGTTGGAACTAGAGCGGCGAAGCAACTTCTTGAACAGCTTGATCCAGAGAAAAAAAGCTACCGACCAGCAAGACCAGTTCGACGTTCGGGTTAGGGCTTCGGATATGCCCATCCCTCTGCAGACCCGGGCTTTTGCGTGCGCGCGTCAGCAGCTGGACTCCATGCCTGGCAACAAGGTCGACAGTAAGCGCCTTGCGTTGGCCTTAAAAAA